GTTTAATATTATAAATTTTTTTAAAAAAAATAATTAATTTTTAAATGGCATCTAAAATTATATGTAAAAAATATAAAAAATTTATTTTCTAATCATTTTTCAATAGGTAAATATGCTTTATATTTACTCTATCATTAATTTTTTTTTTATTTTTATCTATTCTATAATAGTAATATAATTAAATACAAAAACTGTTAACAAATTCTTAGTATGTGAAAAAAATTATAAAACGAAACTTATTTCAAGAAACACTTGAGAATATTACTTAACGTTACACTCAAAAAAGAAGAAAAAATAATGGAGAACCTGATTCCGACACAAGGATACCGGCCTCCTTCATAAATCTATGACCATAGCTTCTAACACCATTTGCACCCTGTTTGTATTGTTCCCCTATCAACATCTTGTGTCAAAATGTGCGTTTTTCTCTGCACAGCTATAGCATAAAAGTACCTCATCCCTCAATAATTTAATTGGAATTTCATCAAGCACCCCCTTTATATCGTTGATTCTAGGAGAGGAAATGGAGAAAATATAAGGAAAATGGAAAAGGAAAAGAAGGATTTTTTTCAACTATCAACAGGATAAAGAGGGGCATGCTAAAATTGAAAAGGGTTGCTTTATTGACAACCACTTAACATTAAAAAATGAATGAATAACAAACAAGCATAAAATCAAAAAAATAAAAAAAAATTGAAAGTTATCACTCTTTTAAATTATATTTTAAGACAAGTCACTTAAATAGATCTATGTAAAAATTGGGATTAAGGAGTTCATTTAGAAGTAAAGAAGGAAATATAAGCACCTCACAATCACCCATATGAAATATGGTTATACAATTTAAATTTGGGGTTTAATTCAATTTATTTTAAATCAAAGGACTTATTTGAGTCAAAAGAGAAGTTTAAGGATATGTTTTAAACCATTTGAAAATTTTTTAAGCTAATTGCAATATATGAATATGAACCAACAACATGTTATTCCGAGTAGAATGAGCTCATTCCCTTTAAGTAAAGTCACGAGTTCGAGTCTTATGAATGAAGAAACAGGCGTTGAAAAAGCTTCTCCCCTAATAGAGTCCGATGCGACTCGATTCCAAATTAGTCGTTATTTAATGTGGTTACCAGATACCGAGAGATTAATACCAAAAAAATATATGAATATGAAAGACATGCATGCATCAATAAAATACGTTGAAGCAGCGGGAGGACTGAAATGAAACAGAACAGAGAGTTGACAACTAAATTTGAGTTTATAAAATTGAAATTTGGGTTTATTTGCCCAATCAAGAACGCCAGGGCTTATTTGCTTGGCTGCTGCTTCCATAAAAACAAACAAACAAACAAACAACTCAAGAGAGCTGGCTTCTTCCTTCAAGAAAGTTCTTGAGGATTGGGAATATGATATGCCTAAAATCAACTAACTTTTCCGGAAGCCAATCAACCCAACTTGAACATGCATTTTTCTCGTGCGGTGTCACATTCACATACCTAAAAGATTCTCCACTAATTTCCCAATAGAAGCAATTAGCCATGATTAAGAGATGTCAATGATCTAATGCCGTGAGTTTGGAATCCTCAAATTTCTTCACTTCTTTTCTGAATTTTTTTTCTTTTAATTTGGGGTTTAATTTGATTGATCATTCGGTAACTTTTGATTAGCCAATTAATTAATGTTTCAAGTCATATCGTCATAAATAGTTAGAAGAAGGCATCTG